TTCAGCAGGTACATATGGCGTGAAAATGATCAGAGTTGATTTAGTGGAGTTAAGTCAGTTAGGCTGCTCTAGTGTATTAGAAGATCTTCGTAGGTAAATATATGATGATACATTAGTTGTTGAATATGCAAATGATGTGGTGTGTGTTATGGTTGTTTTTCATATGCATCAGAAGATTATGTTGTTATGTAATATGATCATGGTATAAGTTTGATTGCTTAGGTATTTTAGCTTTCAAACATGGTAAATGTTGTTGGATGTGAATCTTGTGATGTGCTTGCTTGATTTGCATGATGTTGAGTATAGATATTTTATTCCTAGCTTTGTTAGCTTGTCATAGTGTGTTTTTCTTATGATTGGAATTGCGATGATCATAATTTTAATGAGAGTAGGATATGATTAACTGGAGTTAAGCTATAAGAGTTTCTATTAGGCCATATATTTTGGTAAAATAGTCTTTAACTATTTTTGATGGTTTATATAGGCATCGCTTGACCAACGATCGACTTAAGATTTTATATTCTTTAGTTATTGGATTACTATACATATACTTGTGTAATTCTTTTAATTATTTTTATATTCACAAATATGCTATAATGTACATATTTTGATAGTGTAAATATATAATCCTAAATAATTATTTTTTTATTATAAAAATAATTAATGTGTTGACTACGATAAGTCATTACAACATATAATTATTCATCTTTTTGTAAATTCAAAATACATATGAATCAAGGATTATAATGAATATTAATGTATTGAATGACGTATAAGGTTATAATTCATCGGCAACTCAACAGTCACTGACCCATTGGATAAAATTAACAACCAATAGATAAGAACATAATTTAATAAGTAAATAAAATAATTTAAAATTCTGATATTAATTTTAAAAAAAATACAATTTGGGCAATATGTACTTTGAAGGAACTTAGGTGTGAACTCATATAAATGTTTCAAGTTATTTTTTATTTAGCATTACAAATATCCTTTATGATTATGACAATCTGATTCAACACTTTTATTTTTTAATTAGTAACTGATATTTTTAAACTTTGATTTAAATATAGAATCTCGGTCGAAAATATCACTAATTAGTTTTAAATCAACCAACCTAATAAGCAAGAGAATGTTTAAAGCATTATAAGCAAAATGTTTTACATTATTTGAAATATACCATTAATGATCAGTTTTTTGTTTTAAGAAAACATTTGCAAATTACTGGGCATACTTACACTTACACTTGCAGAGCTCAGCCAACTAATATGGATAATATAAATTGTTTTTGATCTATAAATATGTGAGATGTCACCACTAACCAGACTAGAAGTGTAGAATATCAATTGGCATCCATGTGCAATATACTTAGCTATGGTAAATGTGTCTTAGTATAAAAAGAGGAAGCAACAATCGTAAAACACGGATCTTGCAGCAGATATGCCATTTTCTAAAGAATTTCAACGTAAATGCATGTTTTCTTCAGCCAACTTTTTCTCTAGTCTCTCTATATCTAAACCTAACTTGTTATAGTGATTAAATCATTTGTATCGTCGTCACTAAGTTGATTAATGTTGATAATAACATTCAATGTTTTTGGAGGTTGGTTAACCAGGTATTCACTAATAACTGTGACTAATTTTGATGTTAATAGTAGCATCGACTAAATCTTTTATCGACTAGTTATTGAACAAATTTTTTTTTTTTGAAACGGCCAAATAAAATTATATTGTGGTACTAGGGGTGCCATAATCCCATATTTACAAGGTATTGGTTAGGGGTAATTTAGATTAACTAACCAAATTACGAACTAACCAAACAAAATCTTAGTATCTCTCCTAAAAGTAATTTGATCCAACATTGCATAGCAAAACAGTAAATCCCGAATTCACTCTCATTTATTTTCTACCAATCATTTAATGCCCTATATAGAACCCTTTTTTCCACTCAACCACTCAGATTATTATTACTTCTTGTGTCATCCCTGGTGTCCCCTTGTAAGTCTTCCAATCTTTATCCTTCATCTTCTGTAATGCATATCCCTGGTGCTGACTCCCATTGCACATAGTTGAATGGAAAATCCTTATCCATTTTCAACCTGCCATTATGAACTATTATATGAAATGAATGAGTATGATGTTATTTAAGAGAAATAAAGGGGGTTTGGCCAAGAAAATAATTGGAAAGGAATTTTGACGGCTTTGCAGAAAGAATTTCGGCATTTAAAAATTAGGTACTATTTGACATACTTTTTATTTAGTTTTTCTTTTCCTTGGAATGAAAAGTTGGATGGAACACACTTAAAATTAAGTAATTAAACTTAATTAATTTGATTTTAATTGAGTTGGTTTGAGTAATCATGTCAATTTATTAAAAATATTAACATTTCAAAATTTTGAAAAGAACTTAAGAAGAATGAAATATAAATTATATGAATATATATCACAATAATATTTTTCGAAAGTGGATTTGAGTCAAATTCAATCTTACAAAATTAGCTTGTAAGGTAAGATTTATCTTTCACATTGAATAATTGACTTTAATATCATTGATGAGATGTTTTGTATTTATTTGTGTTTTGTAGAGATATTTCTCAAGAGGAACATGATGTCTTCTTGTGCTTCAAATATTCATACACATCCTCCATATATTAATATGATATTATCCACTTTGAATTTACATTTTCATAGATTTACTTTTTTACAATACTTCCCCCATACTTAACACTATTAAACTTAGTGCATACATAACCCTTTTAATGATTTAGAGTATGTGATATTTGTGTTCTTTCTAATACACCTTTTATATTCGACACTATTAAACTTGGTGCGTGCATAAATGGTAGGTAATTTTTTTTAATGAATCTATGATAATTCTAATACCATACTAAGAAAGTGAATTTGAGTTTAACTCAACCTTAATAAATTATGAAGGAATCCACTTACTCTAATTAAAAGTAAGTTTAAGTAAGCTTACTCCACTCAATATTGTATGTTCTATGTTAAATTTTAATAATCTGATAATCAAATTAAGAGTTCTTAATACATTAATTTAAATTTATATAATGAAATATCATATAATTTTTAAATTTTTTTTAAAAATTATAAACTTGATCTATATATTAAAATTTTAATTTAGCAATTAAATTATTAAAATTTGATATAAGACATAAATTATCGAATAAAATAAGTTTATAAAAAATAAAATTTATTCTTAAAATAATTGGATTCCTCGTGGATTAAAAATCACCTTTAAAGAATAATTAGATGAAGTTGCACTCCATGCTGCTACGATTAAGCATGCAGTCTCAATTAACATCAAATTGCGATGCACCAAAAATGCGACCTCACAACAAGAATTAGTAGAAGTGTACTAAAATTCTAAAAAATTGTGCTAACTGCTAAGGCCAAAAAAGAAAAAAAAAATGCCGGTGAAAAGTTCAAGTCATATTTCATTCTTAAGGTTAATTAATATAACATTTTAAATTAAGATATAAGTATTTACTTAAAAAAAGTTTATAATTTGTTTATTAAGTACAAGAATAGTTAAACGCCCCACAAAGATGCTCTTTCAAAAACTGAGACAAACAAAATAGCTCCCACCCACATTTGCCCATTAACTCTTCCTTCACCAATGGCCCTTCCTCAAAAGGAAGAGTTACCATTTATACTTTATATAAATGTCACAAATATATTTTTTAATTAAAAACTCTTTAAAAATAATCAAATTAACTTATAACTTGTTAAAGCTTAAAAGAATTAACTTAAGAATTGTTAATTTTCTTCGGAAGATATATTTATCGAAAAAAATCATTTAAAGTTCTTATATTTTAACTTACATATATAAATTTTATTATTAGTGTATTATTAGACCCGTCTTTTCATTACAAAATCCCCTTTAGTATTTTTAAAAAAAATACAAACAGTAACTTAAAGAATAAAATACTTTAAAGATCTTGCCACGATACTAGTTATAAAATCAAGAAGACTTTTTTATTATTAAATAAGTTACAAAGCATATTAAAATCACGATAAATTATATTAATAATATTTATAATAAATAATTCCATTTTTAAATTCATAATTTGTTCAAGACATTTATTAATATTCAATAATTGAACAATATAGTTTAAATAGAAATGCGAATTTCTAACTGTTTATTTGGTAGGAACCAATGGGAATGAGACACACAATAAGTTTCCATTAAATCTCCAACTAGCTATACAGCGTCCCGCACATAGAAGTCATAACTACACTTTTTTTCAGTCTCTATATAAGGTCCTTACTAGCAAACCCTACTTTGGTACAACAACGAAAACCCTTATTCCCCTCTTTTGTGTTCTCTTTGTGAACCCTAGCTAGGTAGGAATAGGATCAAAGGAAAATGGTGTTAGAGGAGGAGATTGAAGTGTATGATGTGAGGCTATCCTCAGTTGGGCCGGGGCGGGCCACCGGGTCGGACGTGTTCCACAGCCCGGGTGGGTTGGACTTGGCCATGAAGCTTCACTACCTTAGAGTGGTTTACTTCTTTGATAGTGAGGCTGCACAAGACCTAACCATAATGAAGATCAAGGATGCCATGTTCACTTTGTTCAACCCTTACTTCATCACCTGTGGCCGCTTCCGCCGATCGGAATCCGGTAGACCCTTCATCAAGTGCAATGATTGTGGAGCAAGGTTCATTGAAGCCAACTGCAACAAGACCCTTCATCAATGGCTAGCCACTCAGGATTGGCCCTTGTACAAGTTCTTGGTCTCTCACCAAGTCATTGGACCTGACCTTTCTTTTTCTCCTCCTGTTTTATTGCAGGTATCATGCTTCATTTTCTCCATACACATGTTAAGTTTATCGATATATAATGTTAATCATATACAACAAAAAACTCTACAAAATTATTTTTATGTCTATCTCTTCATCATTAATAAGCATTTTTCTCCATAATAAATAAATGAAGTGATAGAGATATAAGTATACAAGTGATGTTGAATAAGTTACAGTACAACTTTTACTATACGTGTAACATTATCACTCTTAATTTATATATTATACATCACATGTTATATACGTATTAATCATTTTTATTTTTCAATTTTTTGTTAGTGTGTTTGAATGGAGATTTTAATGGAGTAATTTATTTATTTAAAGAATTTTAAATGTTTTGAGATCATATGTTTTGTTTGAAAGAAAAATTTACAAAAATTTAAAATTTAAGTATTTTTGAATTTTTTTAGAATTATATAATTTTAAATTTTTTTAAAAAAGTAAAATTTTGAAATTCTTCCCTCTTTTTTTCTCCTACCTCTCACTCTTCTCTTTCAAAGTTGACATAAAAAGTAACAATAATTTTTATTATTATTGAATATTCAAAATTATCCTTAAATTATTAAAATTATTTAATATTAATTTTAAAGTTATTAACATTTAAAATTAGTTAATATTTAATTTTATAAAATTTAATCTTAAAATTTTAATATATATATATATATATGTGTGTGTGTGTGTTTAAAATCAATATTCGTGGTGAAAATAAAATTGTCTTATTCAAATTAAAAATATAAAATTTAACAAATGTAGATTGACTTGTACAAACAAAACATTTAAAGAACGATAAAAATTGAAATCAAAGTAATTTAAATCTTAAAAATTTTAATTTTTTTAAATTTTTAAAATTTTTCATCTAAATATACTTAAAGAAAATATAGGCTACATAGTATCAAATTACATTATTATCCTATCACAAATTATTATATGCATAACAAATTTGTTAATTTTTATAATAGTTATTTAAAAAATTATATAAATAATAATTTCTGATTGATTGACTTTACATCGTGCGTAGTTATTAAATTTTTTTTTTCAGATAAGAAAATTTCTATTACATATTTGCACTGGAATGGACACTCAGAAACTGAAAAAATAATGTGACAGTGAAGTTTCACCGAATAAGAGTTAGCCAGTAATAAAAGAACGAATACAAGTCAAAATCCCGGTCAACGTAGATAAATGCATCCAGTTCACCAGCAGAAGAACATTAATGATAAAAGAAAAAGCTACAGAAAGATTTTTTAAAAAATTTATGTATTACTCTTTGCATTAAGGCATTGAAGAAACTCTAGTCTGATTCTCTCACTGAATAAATTTAAAATTGAATGCCTCATTTTCTGATAAAAGAATCAGACACGATTGTACAACTGTACAGTGTAGTGGGTCGAAACCCTAGCTAGTAGCTACTCGATCTTTGTATTAAGGCATTGAATTAATTAACTGTTTGTGTTTGCTCACAGAAAAATTCGTTGAGTTTTCCTTTTAGCTTAAGTTAGTTTATATATTTATATAGAGTTAATTACCTATACAATTATCGTGTAAAATTTTTTTACACTAATAATTAATTATATCTTTTAATTGTGTCATGTTACTATAAACACATTTACTTTTAATAATGATATGACACAATTAAAATATATAATTGGTTGTCGGTGTAAAAAGTTTTACCCTGACAGTGTATAAATGATTAACTCTATACTGTCAATGTAAAACCAACCATATCTTTTAAAATTATTTATTTTATTATTATTTTATTAAATAAGCAATTGACATAATACTACTAAAAAATATAATTGGTTATCAGTGTAAAATTTTTAGAATTTAAAGTTTAGGATTTAGGGTTTACATTATCTTATATATATATATATATATATATATGAAAAAAGTCCTTTTATACAACTGTTGGATTTAGTGCCTTCGATCTTTTTCTGGTTACATCACATATTACGTAATTGGATTTGCACATCTTACATCGCATTCATATACGCATATATATAATAACGTATTATATACTTTTACGAGTATACGACAATTTTAATTTATATTTAAGAGATGTATTTATATTTAGTAATAGTGATAGTCCTAAGTACAAGTTGGTGGATGATAAGTCGAGGTCTCATAGTTGGAGGAATCCCAAAAAATGTTATTTAATCAATATAGTATAAAAATAAAAATTTACATAATTAAATTACATAAAAATATGAATTAAAGAAGATAAATTAATTGTAAATAATTAATTAATAATTATTATTTTTTACTAGTCAAAAAAATATACTCATAATTATAAAATAAATAAATAAATCTATGATATGAAGTGTAAATAAAAAAATATGATATATTATGGACTTATTTTTCATTTCTGATGTGAATTTTTGTAAGTATTAATGTAAAATAATAAGGATTGTTTTTAATTTTGTCCATTTTTCTTTATTTCTAACTTTTTAAATTTTAAAATTTTTAAATTATAATCTATTTTATTCTGTTGAAACATCAAAATCAATCATGAATCTCAACCATAAACTTCTTTATGATGTATCATCTATATTAATCAACTTTTTTTTTTTTTTTACAATTTATAATAATCTCTAAGAATTACTCATAGTCATTTTTTACCAATTGCATATTTATTTATCTGTGTTTTACATTTAAAAACTATAATCATAAGTAATATTTAAATAATTATAAATCAAATCTTTTTATCTAGGATTTTTTTTAAGATCGGCCTGTTTAGTACCATACCATACCCTAAATCATGATTGCCCTAGAAACAAAATATATGTAGAAAAAGAAAATCTGCCATAGTTGAATGAATGAGTCACCATGGATTCACTACTATCTTATTTTTTTAAGATCCTATACGCAGTATATATGGTATGGATAATGGAAGACCATTCTTAATAAGAGAAGAGATAAGGTCGATCATGATCCGTGGTTCCTTTCACTTTCGCTCCATCTGTTTCTCTCCCTATATCATTAATGCTCGTGAAAGAGAAAACTTAGATGTTAACTTTTTTCATAAAATTTATATATTAATGTTATCTCTTCTTTCTTTGTTGACTCAAATGTTATAACTGTCTAATGATGTATACTTTTTATATTAATAATAAAAGAGATATATATTACCTTTTGATGTTTACAATTTTTTTTCCAATTTTATCCTTAATTAACTATCCATAAAAATAATTGTACACTATGAAAAAAAATACTTATCATTTAACTAAAAAGAAAAAAAAAATGTTTCGCTGGATTTAGTGCTTTCTTTTCCTACTAGTTAAGAATGCTAGTTACATATTTATACAGAACAAAGAATACGGAAAAATTATTATTGTTTCTATGTTTTAATGCTTAACAAGTACAAGGGGATATTTCATCTTTTGAATTTATGATATACTTTTTATTTTACTTTATATTTTAATATTATACTCAAATTATATATATATACACTTATTTTATAAAAATTCTTAGATATTTTATTTTAATTTATAATTTTAAAAATTATTTAAATTTCAAAAAACATTAATGTCTTCCTCGATTCTAATACTATCCTAGTAATTTTGAAAATTTATTTATTTTTATTTTCAAAAAATAAATGCAGAGAAAGAGGACAACAAATACTTCTGAATAAAAATAAAAATCATGAGAATTTGCTTTTGCAGGTCACTAAATTCAAGTGCGGAGGTATTTCATTGGGCCTTAGCTGGGCCCATGTGTTGGGGGACCCACTTTCAGCTTCAGAATTCATGAACTCTTGGGGCCAAGTAATGAACAATTTGGGCCCTAAAAAGCTTGATAACATCCCAAGACCTGTCCCAACATCCGGACAACCCGGACCCGAAAAGGATCCAGTTTCAGCGAAGCGGATCGACCCGGTGAGTGATCATTGGATCCCAGCCAACAACAACAAAATGGACACATTCTCCTTCCACCTCACTAGCTCCCAAATGAACTACTTGCAAGCACAAATTTGGGGTCCAAGTCTTGCCCAAACCCCTCCTTTTGAGTCCCTATGTGCCATGATTTGGAGTTGCGTGGCCCGGGCTCGGCCAGGATCCGAACCGAAAATTGTGACCGTGTGTCGACCCGACCCGAACAATAGGGCCAATGACATCATTGGTAATAACCAAATGATATGCAAGGTTGAGGCTGGAAGTGAATGTTGCATTGTTGACACAAATTTGAGTGTGTTGGCTAGCATGCTTGCGGATCAAGGTGTGGATGAGAGGAAGCAAATTGAGGAAGAAATTGAAAGAGATGAAGGTGTGAGTGACTTTTTTGTGTATGGTGCCAATTTGACATTTCTAGACTTGGAAGAAACCAATGTGTATGGCTTGCAATTGAAGGGACACAAACCAACATTTGTTTACTACACCCTTCAAGGGGTTGGTGATGAAGGTGCTGTTTTGGTGTATCCTTGGCCAAAAGGTTCTACCAAGAATAATGGTGTTGATGGCAAGTTTGTGACCATGATTTTGGCCGAGGATGAAATGGTGAAGGTTAAATCTCAGCTCAAGCTGAATGGTCTTCTGCTTGAGGGCAATTAATTTTTAATGAGATTATTGAATATTTGTCAAAGAACAAATTTCTTTTTATTTTGTTTGTTTGGTTGTTATTAACATGGCGGAAAATTAGCCTGTAGTACCTTTGTTTGTTGCTTTAGAGTCGTGCCTCACGTTAACCTTGGTGTGGCATGGTCTCATTGTTCTTCATGCGTTGTTATTAAATAACTTATTTTCTTTCCAAAAAAAAAAAAATAGTGACCTAATTGCTTTAAACAAATTAATATATCAAATCAAACACCTTAAAATCAACTTATTACATTTATCATAAATTATTTATATTATATAAGGAGAATATTTCTCATAATAATTATTTTGATCTTTATTTTTTATTAGACCAAACTATCCGTTAGTTACTACTTTTGCCTTTGTTAGAACTAATGTTACAAAACAAAATCGATTCTCGTAATTTGAACTAGCACTTATCTAATCTAAAATCAAATTTATTAATTACATATTTTATTAAGAGAAAAACGTTTAGGATCTTTTTGTTCAAAAGAACCATAATTATTTTCTAGTTTGATTCACAAAAAGAGAAAAAAGATTTTAAAAATTAATTTAGCCTTATATCCTTATAAATTATAATGAATTTAAAAACATAAATTAAAATATCTTAAACATGATACTATAAATAATTTAAAACCCCTCACTTTCCCTCTCCTCTAAATCCCCCAATATTGAAGAGGACTTGAAATTAGATGGGAGAGATTTTACTTTCCTCCATTCTATTCTCCTACAATCAAACACTATGTTAGATAATATTTATATACAAAATATTAGTCTTTGATCTATTTGAATACAAACTAAAAAAACGTTTTTAAGAATATTTCTATTGAAAAAAATTTCAATCATTTTTTTTAAAGCACTTATAATTTATAAAAAAAAATATATTCAACAAATATGAAATACTAATTGATGGTGCACGACAAAATAATATATCATAATTCAATAGGACACCCATCCTTTTTTTTTTCTGCATGATTGGAGTACAAAAATTGAAATCTATCACCTTCAATAATGGAGTATTTGTCATTATATGATGCTTAATTTCAAATGTGGGCAGATGCAATTATTAGAACGAGTCTTTTTAACTTCCAAAAATGTACAACTACTATTCATATATTAACATATGAATTGTTCGGTGATAATGTAGATGGTTATGTTTAAATTGACCAAAACATTACGATGGAATATCTTTGGTTAAGAAAATTATTATTTATCTTTTTTTTTAAAAAAAATTATAATGGAATGTTTAGAAAGACTTTTAAGAAGTACACGAGAAAATTTAATGATAATGACACTAAAAAATCTACTACAATTGAGGAAGGCATGTAACTTTCCTAGTATGTTCAATCTGTCTATTTGTATGGAAAGCCCAATTTTCTTAAAAAGGTTACACCAAATTCATAATCATTCTTGAAGCACTAAAGTCACAAAACTTGTGAATTTTACATGCATTTTTTTAAAATTTTAAGTCCAAACTCATTAGAAAATCAAACCGGTCTATTATGTCTAATGACATTTTTGAAGAACAAGCTCTTATAGTGCAAATGAATGATACTCACGATTTTTAACTAATATCTAATTGATTAATAATATAAAGATACTTAACATATTAGGATATGAGTATTAAACTCTTAATAACAATCCTAAATTCCATAACCTCCACTCATATTTAATGAATGATACTGACGATTTTTAACTAATAAAATAAAATACAGTACTGCTACTAAAAGTATAACAAGACCTGTCTTGAATTTACTACCACATGTGCGGACAGAGTTGATAAGGAGTGGGAACCAAGCAAAGATCAGAAGCTTTCTTAACTGTGAGGCCAAAAGACTCAGACATGTCCAGCTCATGGTGTTTTGTCCCATTCGGCATTTTCCAATCAAAATGATAAAGCAAATTGGCCAGTAAAAGCATGATGATGGTCACGGAAAATGTAGCCCCTGGACATATTCTACGTCCAGCACCAAAGGGTATGTACTCAAAACTTGTGCCACTGAAATCAAAACTTTTACCAATGAATCTCTCAGGTGAAAACCTCTCTGCATGGTGCCAATACTTAGGATCCCTCCCAATGGCCCATGCATTGATAATGACTTTGCTCTTTGCGGGGATTTCGAATCCATTGATGGCACATGACTCACGGTTTTCTCTTGGGACTAGAAGTGCTTCAGGAGGGTGTAGCCTCATGGTTTCTTTTATCACTGATTTTAAGTATTCGCACTGTCCAAGGTCGGTTTCATCTACGTAGTGTTTTACATTAAAAACGTTTCTTACCTCGGCTTGTGTCTTCTCCATCACGTTCGGGTTTTTCATCAGTTCTGACATTGCCCATACTGCCACTGCTGTTGGTGCAGCAGTTCCCCCAACAAACATGTCCTGAAATTAATTAACCGTCAAATTTAATTTACAACATACTCCCTCCGTTTTTTTTTCATAGTCGTTTTGTCAGAGTTTGTTGTTTTTTTTTCATTGTCATATTACTAAAATCAATGAGTTATTAATCCTTTCGTCCATTTTTACCCTTGATAATTAATACATGTTTCCTGAACAATATGTGTATTTATTTTTAATGTCTACCTAATTTTTCTCTAACTACTCATATAAAGTTAATGTGCATTTATAAGAGCAATATGTTCCCAACAAAATACTATAAAAAAATAAAAAAAGGGACAATTATTTAATGAAGTAGTTCAACAATCTAAAAAATGCAAAAAAAAAAAGGTAAAATAGGAAAGTAAGTAATAAATATTTTTGAAAACTAAAATATCAATGATTTCTTTAATTCTCGTGCAAAACCTTAAACAGTTAATCCCTCCGTTTTTTTTTATAGTCATTTTGTCAGAGTTTGTTGTTTTTTTTTCATTGTCATATTACTAAAATCAATGAGTTATTAATTTTTTTCTTCCATTTTTACCCTTGATAATTAATACATGTTTCCTGAACAATGTGTGTATTTATTTTTAATGTCTACCTAATTTTTCCCCAACTACTCATATAAAATTAATGTGCATTTATAAAAGCAATATGTTCTCAACAAAAATACTATAAAAAAACAAAAAAAGGAACAACCATTTAATGGAGTAGTTCAACAGTCTAAAAAATGCAAAAAATAATAAAGGGTAAAATAGGAAAGTAAGTAATAAGTATTTTTGAAAACTAAAATATCAATGATTTCCTTAAGTCTCGTGCAAAACCTCAAACGACTATGAAAAAAAACGGAGGGAGTAAACGACTATGAAAAAAAACGGAGGGAGTACTTCATCCATTCTTATGTATATGAGTGTGTGTTTGTTTTAACATTTTATAATATATTTTTTTTAGTATTTTATAATATATTTTCATATCAATTTTGTCTCAAATGTGAAAGTTAAAACTATTTATTTTTGATTTGACGTGAAAAATCATCTTATTAATACTGAATCAAACACTTTATAAGTTTTTTCATATCAATTTTGTCTCAAATGTAAAAATTAAAATTATTTATTTTTGATTTGACGTGAAAAATCATCTTATTAATACTGAATCAAACACTTTATAAGTTTTTTTTTTAAAAGACAGAAAAAATTATAAAAATAATGACAATGAAAATTGAACTTAGGTCCTCATGTTTTTAATTACTTCAATTCTTTCTTACCCAACCACTAAACTAACCCTAGTAGTCTACACACTATAAGATTTGATTTATCAAGACTAAAAAATTAATTAAAATGATATTTTTTGTTGCGACCTTATGTTTAAACAAAAAATGAATTTTAATTTTTTATTAAAAAATAAAAATAATGAATTACTTAAATTAATAATCTTTTATTTTTATTTTTATTTTAAACCAAGGCTCAATAACTCATTCGGGTTTTGGTGTTCAGAATTCAATATCTTAACACGTAAAAATGACGGGAACAGTTGTTCATAAAGAATAGAGAACAATATTAAAAGAATAGAAATTATATTAAAAAGTTAAAATTAAAACTATCTGAACAATCGATATGAGGGTCAATGTTTAAACGGTTGAAAAAAACTTAAATTTAATAAGATTATAAAAATGGATCTTTTAAAAAATTGTATATAAAAAATTCAAATGGATAAAAAATTGTAAATACCATTTTTTTTTATGCGTGTTAGAGCAATATCTTATTTAAATAATAAAAAAAGAGAATAAAAAAAAAAGCTCCAAACTTAATAAAGAAGTCAAGGTAGGACACCGGTGAAAATTTTCCTTTTTCTTTATTTAAAAATACTTCAAGATAATAAGAAAATTTTGAAGGATTCTTTAAATTAATAACTCGTGAAGTGAAATATGTATATGTTCTCTTTTTTACTATTTTAGCTTTATACTTTAATATAATATCAGATTTTAGCAACACTTAATTTTATAAAGGTTACAAAATAGTCTTTATCACTATAAAAAAAAAAAAAAACATACCTATAAGAGTTTTAATCTTATAAAGATATGATGAAGGTTAATAAACTAAAATTTATACGAATATTTGGTGTAAATAAAACTTAAATACTTGAGTTTATAATTATTTTATATCATTTGTAAATTAATGTAAAATAAATATTTATTTAAAAAAAATTAATTTTTAGTGAAATTTTTTATTTATATTGCAACTCAATTAATCATCTTATAGTGTATGGTGACAATTTATAATGAAATAAAAAAAAGTAATTAATCGTTGCTAAAAACACACGACGTTGATATAAAAACAACGTGACGCTTAAAAAAAAAAAAAAGAAACTGTAAAAAAAAAATGACCTCACCTCACGAAAGAAGCAAAGAAAAGAAATGAAATTCAACAAATTTAAGAACGAGTCTGATATTTGCCAAGAAATGAAATTACCACGTGACAGTGAGGTGGACCAGATTGGGGCATAGTCGCATAGACTTTTCTTATTTTATTAGATAAATATTTTCTGTTAATTTTATTCAAACAGATCTTATAATTTGCGTGAAAAAAAACAAATTTATTTGAGTTGGACATTGAATTTTGTGTTTTCAACCTGTTACCTGACTCAACTTAATAATAATAATAATAATAATAATAATAATAATAATAATAATAATAATAATAATAATAATAATCACTATTACTCTTACTTAATATCGAGTTTTGTATTTTAAGTTGATAACATTGTAACAATATGATATATATTATTTAATTTTATTTTGTATTAATTAATGTTAGTTTTTTGAATTGATAATAATGTAACAAGTTAATAAATTTATTTTAGAATGTTATTTATATCATTGTTTGTTTTATAGATTGGTAACATTATATTTGGAACAATGTATCAAATGATTTATATATATCTTTTAAAATATTTAAATTTTATAATAAATAAATAAATTTAATTATGTTAACTCAATTAACCTAACCCAATTTAACCAGTTTGTGATTGGGTTGGGTTGGATTGATATATATATTTTTTTTAAATTACACAAATTCAGTACAACCTAACCCTTTAAATTTTGGTTGAGTCGAATTACGAGTTTATCCAAACCTGACTCAACTCAATCCACTTATATCCCTAAAATTTATTAAACTCAATTAATGTTAAAAAAGAGGTCATAAACATGTTAAACGTGATGAAAATAAATTCAGAGAGATTAAATTTTAAAATTTAAAATTTATTAAGCCCAATTTATAAATAAAAAAAACTATTATCATATTTTCAAGTTGCTGGTGCGATTAAATTTTTTTATCTGACTTTTACTATGTATAAAGCCGTATTTGGTTCGAATGTGTTCAATAAGAAAATAATGAATTGACTAATTAAATATTTTCTATTAAAAGATGAAGCACTAAATAAAATTTACAAAATAAAAAATCAAAGTAAATCTTAAAAAGATAAAATAGTAATAATTAATTTAACAAACAATATGATAAAAAAAAAATATAGGCATAAAAAGATTTTCATAAAATACATAACTTATGATAATACTCTTTAATTTTAAAAATAAATCTATCCATACTATTATTCTATTAATAACTTATGTTTTATATTAATGATTAAATTGTTAAATTAAATTTTTTTAATAATTACATACTATCAATGGAATTGCTAAAAAAAAAATTTAATGAGAGAGATTTGAAAGAAAATTGCATACTAACCCAAATAATTGCTTTGATATTGTTGTGAGTCAATGGAATTTCCAAGTCATCTTTCTTCTGAGTTTTGAGAAGAATATCAATAAAATCCTCATTCTTGCTGTTCTTATTATTTTCCATGTGATCCTTAACCATATTCTCTAGGATCTTATCATTTTCTCTCTGTGCCCTTTCAAGTTTATTTTTCATTCCTGTAAGCAAAGGAAGCACTTTGATTGAAGGGTAGAAATCAGCGATCGAGAAACCTCCCAACAGCTCTAACATTTTCTCCATCGTTGATAGCAAAGTTGCTTGGTCCTCACACCTTTTACCATTCACTGCCTTAACAATTATAGCATTTGTCATGATCTCAATTTCCCTGCTAAGATTGATAACTGATCCTTCATTTGCATGAATGTTTTCAACTAGTTTTGACACCTCATCTTCTCTTATGTGCCTCAATGATTGAACGTGCTTTGCATTTAGCAGCTGTGAAATGCATATTTTCTTCAGTTGCCTCCAAGTTTTTCCATAGGAAGAGAAAGCTATATCACTGTTCTCATAGAGAAAGAATTTGGAAGCAAGAATATGAGGCCTGTTAGCAAAGATGACATCATGAGTTTTCATAACTTTTTCGGCAATGTCTGCTGAAGAGACTATAATGTGTGGCTTTTCACCTAGTTGTAGGAGCATCAAGGGACCATGTTGGTTAGCTAAGTTTCTCAGAGTTTGGTGGCGAAGTGGCCCTACAAATTGGTGAATATTGCCTAGAAGAGGCAGTTTCCATGGTCCCGGTGGTAGGATTTTGAGGGACTTGGAGTTTGAACCATTAAGAGTGTTCAACAATGAGAAAATGAAGAAAATGATGAAAAGAAGAGAGGAGGGAATAAAAAAGTCCATGATGAGAAATGGAATGTTGGATATGCGTGAACGGAATTGTAAGTTATGCTTCTTTATAAATAAGTTTTGTAGCCTACTAAGTTGGCCTAATGGTCACCTGCTTTGTGTTTATATATTGTGAAAATTACTTATTTAATAAAGAATTCATATTTGATATTTGTAAAAATTTCGATCATGTCAATCATAATATTACAAGTAAAATTGGATAACATGGATGATAAGGATGAAAATAGGTCACGTCATGTCAAGTTTTGAATATATAAATTGAATATGTTTAACAGTATTAAAGTTTAAGTTTAAGTTATTATTTATCTTAAACATTTTAATGGAATAACGTATTCTTTTTCAAAAACTGGTATAACCTATTAACTTATTTAAAAATTTATTTTATATTAATGACATTAATCAGGTCAATAAACATGATTTTTAAAAAAGTCCATAAATCTATTTTTAAATGTTATTGTGAGTTATTTTTTAAATTTGTGTAATAAAAAATAATTTACTAAATATTATTAAAATTTAGATTTTAGAATAAATATATACAATGTCTTAAAAAGGACGGAAAAATGAATATTTTTTTTGTTAGAGGATCACTTTGTTCACAAGTTGTAAACATTTAATGAAAAAAGATAATCTTATTCTTATCCAAATTTTTTTAAAAAAATATTTCTTTATCTTATTTGACATATTATGAATAACTGACTTCTATTTTAACAAATTAAAAAGCTATGGTAACAAACTAAAAAAATACACATTATACATGAGGTGACGGTACATATATATACAATACCACAAAGAGATAATAGAAAAAATTATTTTTTTATTAAAGTAATGGTTCATGCACATTTATATACAATGATGTACAATAGATGTGAATGATAGGATTTCTATTTGCTTGGGATTTCTTAATTTTGTGTGAATAAGGTACGTAAGACATTTAAGTGAGGTGATAAAAAAATATTGATAATTTTTTATAAATTTATTTATTTATTTATATTATTGATAATATATGTATATTATTTTTATATGAGGAAGGTTATAATAATACCGGTGTAACTTTTATTAAGTATTACATCATTCAATAACTTTATATTAAATGTGAATTTTGTAAATTCAACCATATAGAAAACCAAGACGTATAGTGTTACAATTTTAGCTACCATATAATTTAAATTAAGAAATTAATTTTGTAAGAAATTCGTAATTAAAACAAAATAAAGTTGATGACCAAAACAATTAAAAGAGACAATAAATGTAATTAAATCATATTAAAACATATTTCTTTCATCATGTTTAAAAAATGTTCCAAAATAATTAATGTAACTTAACTCATGAAACTCAATTTTAAAATGAAATCCTATATACTCCTTATTTCAGGGTCAAACTAAATCTCTGTCTAGAAAAATCCTCTAAACATCTAAGGGTATCTCCAATGTAATCAACTCATTAGAGTTGCTTCATGCATTAAAAAATGAAAAAAGTGATCTCTAGTGTGTCATGTCAGCATTAAACAATTCAAACACAAATTTACTCCAATAGTAAGAAACTTTAAGAAATTCAACTTTTAGAATTTTTTTCTAATCATTTATGAACCAAATTTAAATTTTTATTAAAAAGGATAATTGCACTACGATGAAAGAAAATAAATTACGAGAAAAAAATACACAATAAGTAAATATTAAAAATAAAGTAAAGCAATAGTAAATACATAAACAGTATACGAAATTAATTTTTATCATTATTATTTTCGAAACATTCTCAAATATGTTCAATAAGATCTGCTTGAAATCTGGTAAGGAACGGTTGCTTCCTCAAACAACTCATGTTGCCAGGTCAGAATCCTTCAAGTAACTCATTATGGTCAACATAGCGGTGAGAGTTGGGGTAATATGCATATGGTTCTAGGTTTAAATCCTGGTATCGTCTTTATAATTCTTATAGATTATGAATTAAAATCAATCAAGATATACTACTTTATTTATTTCCAAAATGACTATAATTTAAGATTTTTACACGTAGATTAAAAACTATAATAGATGCATTACATTTTGATTGTAGTGGTTGAATAATTTATGTAAGATGAATCAGGGAAAAAGTAAATAGTATTAAGCTTAAATATATTTTTAATACTGTAAAATGCATAGTTTTAAAAACCGGACCGGTCATCGAACCGGTTAAGGTACTGGGTCAGTGGGTCAAAGGTTGAACCGGTGGGTCACTAGTTGAACCGCATGACTCGATTTTTATTTATTTTTATTAAAAAGTATTCATATTAAATATATTTTATACTTATAAATTTTAATAAATTCATATCTTATTTTAAATTTCAATTTTTCTATCTTATTTAAAATTATTTTTATTTTTATTTTGTAAAAAAATACATAAAAAAATTACATGTTAAACGGTATATTAATACAAATTAAAAATATAAATAATATGTACATATATAATATGCTTGCAATTAATATCAGAAAATAATATATGTAATATTTACATAGATATTGCATTATTAAATATATAATTTAAAATTAATAATATACTATAAAAGTTATTTAAGTTGTATATATTGCAAACAAATATATTAGAACAAGTAGTCATTGTTATATTTAATAAGACTCCTTGCTTTTTCATTAAGAGATTCAATTTTCATTATTATTTTTGTGATTTATGGTCCCTTAAAAAAATGTAAAAAAAAAAAAAAAGTGGTTGAACCGGTTTGACCTACCGGTTCACCGGTTGAACCGGAAATTTGACCGGTTCAATCCGGTTTGAAACGGGTCGACTGCATAACCGATCCAACTTCAGATTCGGACCGGCTGGACCACCGGTTCCCGGTCCAACCAGTCCGACCGGCCGGGTCAGTCCGGGTTTTAAAACACTTAAAATGAGTAAGTTTTTATTTAGTTTTTGTTAAAAAAAATTCGTTGCTTTTCTATTTTTATAGAATGTAGAACTATTTTTTTTAGTCCCCATGATATAATCATTTTTAACTACTTAATTTTGTTTATAAAAATGTTAAATGACCATCTTAGATTTACCCATAATTGTTAGTGAATAATGATACAATGTCAATGTGTGACACTTCTAAAATAAATCTTATTTATCCATCTTTAATTCATTATTAAGGACCAAAAATAGTGATTTAAAATTTTTTAGAATCAAAATCAAAATCAAAATATTTTACAAGGAGTAAAATCAAAATTTACTCATTTTACAAGAACCAAAAATAATGTTTACAGATTTTAGAAGAATGTGAAACATAAATTTTTTATAGAAATCAAAATCAAAACCCACTCATTTTACACAACTTAAAAATATATTTAAGTCATAATTGATATTATCAATTTTTACTTTTTAATGTAATATTAGTTTTTTTCTCTTAATGTCTCCTCATAAAATTTTCAATCACCACAAATAGAAGAAATGTGTTTATTGAAAGAGTGAAGTTATTTTAGTAAAATATATAAAAATAATATATTTATTTCCATTTTTTATTTGTATAAAAAACTTAAATTATAGTCATTTTGGGACGAGGCAATATAAAGAAAACAAAACCAATTAATGTGAAACTTTGGGTATGGTGGACTACTGATGTTGTGTATTTTACTCGTATTTTAGCACTTTAATTCACAAGAATTCATAGCATAATCATGCATATCTTTCATGTTTTTAATAAATTTTTATATCATTTTCCTATTTTATGCTTTTCTTGGTATGTGTTGTGTTTTCTCTGAGCAGGATCAAGATTTAAGAATTAAAGAGGAAATGCTGAGCTACAGGGAAAATCACGGCCGTGATTCTAAATCACGCCCGTGATTCACCAGAGAAAATCACGGCCGTGACTCCCAATCACACCCGTGAACGCCACTGACCCTTCATAGATGTGCTCCAGAGAAGATCACGGTCGTGATTCTCAGTCACGGCCGTGATTCACTTCGCGTCCCAGCTTTTTAAGTTTTATGTTTTATTTTTATTTTATCTTTGTAATTTTTATCTTGGTAGTTTTACCTTTTTACCCTTTTAGGTTATAAATTAGATGAGGTTAGCCTAGAACGGGGATTTTTGTTTCGGAGACAGTTTTTTTTAGTTTTTGACACTTGGAGAAGGTTGGGCGCCTGTGCCATCGACTCTAAGGTTTGCTTTTCTTTTATTCTTCTTTTCTTGGAGAACTACTATGAACTCCTGTGAGTAGTTTCCCTTTTTCTGGGATCAGGGCTTAGCCTCTGAGAACCTCTTTATTAATGCATTATTCAGTTTCTTAATTTTATTCCAATTCTTGATCTGTTCTTTTATATTTTATATATGAACTTTAATATTATTGTTTTCATAATAACATTAATTAAGGATGAACTGAGAGGAGAACTTGATTATAATTATGATAAACAATTAATCTTAATTTTCATAATCATAGATAATTAGGGATGAACTGAGAGGAGAACCTAATTATCGGAACCTAAAGGAACAGACTTGAGTGTTAAATCACGAGAGTTGATTTAAGCTTTCGAGGAGCAATAGATTAACAAAGATCTTAATGGGTTTAATTGAACGTAATTACCACGAGAGTAGAGATTAATTTTAATTAAACACGTCCTCGTAGCCTGAGAAGGTGCAAGGATTAAATTAGGTTAAGACTACCTTCAAGATGGAATAGAATTAATTAATGAAAATAATAATTCAATATTGTTGGAACTCTTTGTGCGAACCCTAGATTCCCGGAAATCTCCTTATCTTATCTTAAAGTTTTATCTTATTCATTAATTGCATTACTATCTCTTTTACCATCAAATCTGATCTTATCATCTCAAAACAAAAATTCAATCTGTTTTAAAATTCAAATTAAAATACTAGTAATTCTAGGTCAAACACGTAGTCCCTGTGATTCGATATTTATTACTTGACGACAACCGTACACTTGCGGTTTTCCATACATCAACTACCTCTAAAATACAATTTTTTTAATTCTATCATGACCTCAAGAACGTAATTATAAAATTAAAAAAAAATATATATATGAACTTAATTAAGAAATATATTTTAGGGATCTATTGATAAGTATCAATTTTACTTAAATGATTTAACTCTTTTGATA